GTTTTCATAAACATCAGAGTGCAAGATTGACATTAACATGTCTTCTTCTTGTTTGTCATCTAGATGAATATCTAGTAAATTAGGCTTCATGTATTTCTACTCTTTTGTCATCTTGATGAATATATATAATAGGAGGCTCCAAGCCTTGACTAGTCATTACATCTGAAAAATCCTTTTGAAAAATACGTCACATGCTATGCTATTGATGTTAGATACCGATGTTGCATAAGAAGATTAACATAATACTCCATGTTCTTACTATCCACAGCGATATCTTTCCCGTTGCGACATAACTCCATTTCTCTCCTTGAGCCCAATGACTTAACTTCACAAACAAATGCCAAGCCTAACACATCTTGATCCACTATCTCTGCATCCATATTCAGTATCTCCTTGCAGCTACGGTACAAGAACGGATCCGCGTCCCTAATGTCTTCAAATAATACACCCTTTTTGCCAATTGCAAGAAAAATAGGCGATAAAAAAATATCTCCAATTTGTACATCATATGCTAAGGCCAACACACTCATCCTACAAGAGAACCGTAAATACTCAAGGTACAACAGATTCACTTTAGATGCTACATCAAACACAAATGGTAGGAGATATTAAATATCGAAAAACATTTTACATGGAAAATATTTCCCTTCATACCAAACACTACTTTCGCTTTTTTGGTTAAAGGAAAATATTTTCCATGTAAAATATTTTTCCATATTCAATATCTCCTACCATCTGTGCTTGCTGCAGCATCTAAAGTGAATTTGTTACACCTTGAGTAAATATGGTTCTTTTGTAGGATGACTGTGTTAGCCTTAGCATATGATGTACAAATCATAGTTGTTTTTTATTGGAATATTTCTTGCAATTGTCTGGACAAGGTGTATTATTGGAAGACATTAGGGAGGCGAATCTGTTCTTGTACCGTAGCTGCAATGAGATACTGAATATGGATGCAGAGACAGAGGATCAAGATGTGTTAGGCTTGACATTTGTTTGTGAAGTGGAGTCATCGGGTTCGAGGAGAGAAATGGAGTTATGTCCCAACAGGAAAGATATTGTTGTGGACAGTAAGAACAAGGAGTATTAGGTTAATGTGCTTATCCAACATCGTTATGTTACATCAATAGTAGAGTAGTTGGCTTATTTTTCAAAAGGCTCTTCAGATGTAATAACTAGGTGAAGGCTTGGAGCCTTCTAATATATATTCATCAAGATGACAAAAGAGGACAAATACTTGAAGCCTAATTTACTAGATATTCATCTATATGACAAACAAGAAGAAGCCATGTTAATGTCAAACTTGGACCGCGGTCCAGTAACAGATCAAAGTGGAAACGATAGAGATAATTACTCTGATGTTTATGAAAGCATTTGATTTTTGGGATAGAGAGTGGACTAAAAGGATGTGATCAAGGAATATTCTTGTTTCAATATAATTTTTTGAATGGTTTGATCATGGACTCATAGGTTCTTCCACTCTCTTTGACCAAATATTATGATCATTCTGTACTTGCAAGCTTTGCCTGATGATTCTTTTCCTTTTCCAAGTGTGTATTCCTATAACTGTAAAAGAAACATTATTTTAGATATATGCCCTCCATAACAAAAAGACAGAGGGTTTTGGAGTTTGAGAGTTGGACTGTGTTTGATATTCAAAAAAGAAAGAGATATATCTCATGATGTTTTGACCAAAATCTTTGTGTACGCAACAACTTGTTAGGAATCTGCTTTTGAACTGCAGTAAATTTAATTGTACTGCCTATGTTTTAACTAAGACTTAGTCAATTAGTTGTTAGTCATGCTTTCCAATTTTTTAGGAGTTGTTAAGTGAACTGCTGATCGTGTGTTATTATTATTTTTTACTTTTTATTCTAGGCTCTTATATATCTAATCTGAAGTATTAAGAACATTCTACTTCTTCTGCTTCCATTCTTTTTTCTCTCTCTCGTCTTTTTTGATTTTAGGCGCAGTCTTGATTTCCCTTTGTGTTATTTAGCTTAAACAGGTTTTTAAAACCTTCACAACTAACAGGTCCTCCATCTATGCTAAAATAATATTCTTTGAAAATTTGTCCTTCTTTTCTTTGAAGGCATCTCCGCCTGAAAGTTATTAC